CGTCAAACGCGATTAACATTTTACTCGTTAATTTTTAATCGTTAATCAGATTAGCAGTTTGCCAACACTGTGTGAAATCATGTTCATACTGACGGAGAAAAATGGACGTTTTTGGAAAAGAGGCGTAGCACCTCCCATACTGACTGAAAGTTTCATATTGCATATCTCTTCAAATGTTTGGGGTAAAGCACTCAAGCTTGGTAAGGAAATACATATGTATGTATGTGAAACTAATACCATACTCATGGAGAAAAATGAGAGTTATTGGAAAAGGTGGTGTGGCAACTCCCATGCAAATTGATTTTTCTATGCCGCATATCTCTGGAGGTGTTTATTGCAGATGACGGGAGCTTGGCACCGAGATGTGTATACAAAATTAATTCCATACTCATGGAGAAAAATTTGCGTTATTCGAAAAGGGGGCATGGTACCTCCCGTACAAATTTACTTTTATACTGCATATCTCAAGAGGGGTTCATGGTAGAGTACTGCACTTGGTACTGGGGTATGTACAATCAATTCTAAATTCATGAAAGAAGATTAGGGTTATAAGAAAAAGGGGCGTGGCACTTTCTGTGCAAATTGACTTTTTCTTGCCACATATCCCTGGAAGTGTTTGTGGAAGAATACTGGAACTTGGTATGGAGTTGTGTATACAAAATGTTTCAATTGCTCATGGAAAAAATGTGAGTTATTAAAAAAGGAGGCATGTCGCCTCCCATACATACTAAACATTTCTTAATACAAATCTCTGGAAGGATAGAACATCTTTGGAATTATTTTAAATTTGTTATGGAGGTTTATTTTATAAGTGCCGTACTGATAGAAAAAATTTCATTTAATGGAAAAGGGAGAGCCGGGTTCGGCCTTATAATCTAAAGCTCTCTTGAGGCATTTGCTACAGTAATGAGAAGTGGTATTTTATCAAGGCCAGGTTACTAACTTTAAGTTGGAAATATTAGAACCCGCCGTGGCACTTCCAAGAAGGTTACATGTTTACGCGTCGTATACCTGGAACCATTTTAAGGTAAACTTAGAGGGATTGATATCTTTCGTATGCCTAGCGCGCAGACGAGATTTTATAATTTCATAGTTTTAAACGGCCTAAATACCTTAACTCGCTTAAAAATAACGAGCTATAACGAAATGGGCACAGAAATAAAATCTAACATTATTAAATTATTTTTCATATTTGCATAAAAGCGCGGGGTGAAACCCGCGGGTATAAGCTAGTATCAATATATTTTTGACAATGTGTGTACCAAACGACTTGTTGTGATTTAATAAAAATAGAATTTGAATATCATATTTGAAAACGCATATTTTTAAAATGAAGAAAAAACAATTTAGGATTTTATTTCAGCATGCGCATATTCAATTATCAAACAATCGTTTTTAAAAACGATTTGAAAATGTTCGTGTCAAAAACAGAAACATGGATTTTAGAAATTGAATTGAAAATTTTCGTTCTCAAAATTTAAATAAATATTGTAGGTGCAAAACCTGGGTCAAAACGTTTTTAAAAGTAAAACGTTCCATACAAATTGGAAAACGAAAATTTCTCTGTGTACATATCGAGCCCTAACCGCCAAAAGGGCGTTAGCGATAAAAAGTAAATATTTGGTTTTTTTCTTGTTAACACTGCAAATACTGTAATAAGAAAGAAGAAAACGCAAACGTCAAAGCTGTGAAGCTGTGCTTTTTTGTGCTCTGTTTGAATTTTGTGTTTTATAAAGCTGTTTACGCTTAATAAAGTAAAAAATTCAAAAAAGTGTGATTAAACGTCTGGTGCACAATTTAAAGATAAGTAAAATATCAAAATTCCCTGTAAATTTGATTAATTTAACTTGATATTCTTAGCTGCATGTGCCGAGTGTTTTGTTTCATATAATATATTGTTGTTGTACAATTTTTTTTGTTTGTGTACTTTCATTTTGCTCTTTTTGTCATTTCTGCTGTTTCATCTTTGTCACAGCTGTTTGCGTTGTGTTTATTAGGTGTCAAATATACAGTGAATTTAAAACTGTTCGCTACATAGCTTTCAAACAGATATTTACCAGCTGATTGGTTCTCTGATTGATACATCGTTTTCACAACTGTTTTGCTTTTTAGCTTCTAAATAAATATTATTTTAAACATGTCGTGTATTTACACCAATTGCCACGTTAAAAGCGACTCCTATGTGTCATGCTGGCTCTGCGATGGGATTGCCCATATAAAATGTGCTGGTTTGAGCGGTAGAGTGTTAGACGCTATTAATGAGGGAAAGGGTCTTCGTTGGTCTTGTCAAAAATGTAGATCAACCGAAGTTGATTTATTTAAATTCTTTAGGCAGTCCAGAAATGGATTTTCTGAAATAGGGAAGGATCTGTCGGTTCTTCTTGAGAAATTTAAGCATTACGAAAAAATGCTTAAGTCTTGTCTCGACAACCCTCCACACTCTGAGGATAGCCGAGAAAATAAACGTAGGCGTGTTATTAGTCCACTTAAAAAGCTAGTCACTGAATCTAGTCAGAAAAATCTTCCATCCCAGTCCTCGGAACTTATTAATCTTTCTTCTCCATGCCCTCAGGCATTGGAACCTCCGCTATCTAAAGCCATATCAACTAGGTCCAAATCTAAAAATAATAACGTCAATCAAACCGTTGATTTAACAGTGTTGCCATCAACATCTCAAGCTCCACTGTCTAACTTAGTTCCTCCGAATAATTCGGATCCCCGCACATCAGACATCATTACCAAAACGTTGGTTGCAATTCCTCCGAGAAGATCAATCTTTGTCTCTAGATTTGCTAAAGATACTTCTTCGGATGATATAAAGTCATACATGTCGACTAAAATTAGAACTAAAGATGTATTTAATCGTAAATTTAATTTTAAATACGATCGCGATATTTCAGATTTTAAAATTGATGTAGCTTCCGAAGATTTTGATTCACTACTAAATAGTTCTTTTTGGCCGACCGGGGCGTTTGTTCGCGAGTTTGAGTATAAACCTAATCAAAGTAATAACAACGTGGCTAAAATTTCTACTCTAATTCGGATTCAAAAAACTAACTCGGAAGTCTAATTTAAGTATTTACTATCAAAACGTTAGAGGTTTGAATACCAAATTAACTGACTTATATAAAAGGTTTTGACTGCAATTATAATATTATTTCCTTGACCGAAACATGGCTCAAACCTCATATTTTTAATTCCGCAATTCTTCCAAATGAATATCAAATATACAGGAGTGACCGCGAGGGCAGAATCGGCGGTGGTGTTCTTTTTGCATATACCGAATTTAAATGTATACGTGTACAGGCTGGAAAGAGTTATATTTATTGAGCTCTTTGCTACATCCCTCCTAATTCTGCCGTAGCAGTATATATGCAACTAGTTTCTTTACTTGAGACCGTAAATGCAATGCTTACGGCATCCGATTCTATGATTGTTTTGGGCGATTTAAATCTGCCACACATTTCATGGAACATCATTGACACCGATGTTGTACCATTTTCATCTAGAGATAGTTACAATAGGGGTATTCTCGAAGTCTTGCACGATGCACGGATTGCACGAAATGCAAAAATACTATTCCAAATTTCGAAGAGTACGAGAGCACCCCATTGCAAAGTGGTAGAATGCATGGGTAGAAAGCAGCGAAATTATGTATCAAATACAATAACAAGAGACAGCAAAAAAAATGAAGTGAGCGAGATGAGAGGAATGAGAGAAATATATAGCAATTCCAACAACAAAACAACTATCACAGGGTCTCATATATCTTGCTATGCTATTTTGCTAAATATATACATGGATTTCGACGTTGCATATTTTGCAGCGATAGGAAATGTCGTTTCCCATGTATTTTGTTGTTGTGTGTTTGCAAGTTATGCAATCCATGCAATCCGTGCTACGTGCAATTGCTTTGCGAGATTTGGAGAATACCCCTAATGTTTTTCTGGAGGAAATGGCTGAAATGTGGAACGATTACATCACACTCCTACCCTGTCGGAAACACCAACAACGAAAATAAGAAATTGCTGAACTTTGCCTCAAAAAAATAAATATATGTCCAAATAAGTTTGGAAAGGTCTTGGATCTCGTTTACGTTGATGATGTTCCGAAGGCCTCTATTAATCGGTGTGATCCCCTAGTTTTGCCAGAGGATGCATACCATCCCGCTCTTGAGTTAAGCTACGAAATCATAAATGAAATACATAATAATAAGTCGTATACTTCAGGTGCTAGATATGTTTTTGCGAAAGCAAATTTCAGGAAAATTAACAAAGAACTTTCAAAGTTATTTTGGCCAACATATAGAGATGACGTGGAGCGTAGCGTTGAGGACTTTAATCATACTGTTTTCAATTTGTTTCGAAAGTATGTGCCAAAACATAGTATTTTTCATGAAGAACCACCACAATTATGGTTCACTAAAGAGCTTAAAAAATTGAAAAACAAAAAGTCATATTCTTTTAAACTGTATAAAAGAACGGGCTTACACAGTGATTACGTAAAGTACTCAGTTTTGCGGCATAGCTACTTTGCATTAAATAAGAAATGTTATAACTCATATATAATGCAACAGTTGACTGTCAACCTGTGCGGACGCGTCTTTTAACCGCTCCGCCGAGAAATTATTAATAATTCACGTAAAGCAAAGAAAAAAAAACACAACCAACGCGAAAAGACAATACTAGGCATAAATAAGCTTTCTGCTTATTTGCCTATAATTATAAATTACTTTTTCTGAATTTTGGCAATGCCGCGAGAAATTCAAATGAATGTGCCAACATACAATAAAATAAAAGCAGCTCCGGCCCCACCGCGCTTACCGAATAGTGAAACAAGCACCAAGTGCAGTGAAATAAACCTTGCCGTAACAGAAGCTGACCAAAAGCATTCAGCTGATCGACGAAATGGTTACTTTTCGTTCGTTTCCCCCACAAACAATGCTGATCGCGATAAATCGTACTCTCCCTCCCCCCAAACCTCGTGCATTACATCTTGGCATGCACTTGTCTCTGGTAGACCAAGTTGTTCTACCGCAACAGCAAAGCACTAGCTTAGCAATAAGCACAGTAACAACGGTTAGCGCAGCTCTCACAACAACAAATACAACCACGAACTCAGCAATGACAGCGGTTTCACAACGCAGTTCACCCACACCTGCACAAACGGCAATTTCGGCACCAGCCCAAGCCAAGCAACGCAGCTCAGCGCAAGTTGACCTACTTAATCCAACAACCCGTACATTGACTCAAACGGGTATTGATAGGTATATACAAGTCAAACGAAAATTAAGCCCACAGCAGCAAAAAATTTCAAAAACGAAAACCACTGACATTAACCCTCTACTGGGAAATCAGTTTGCGATTCTGGACAATGAATGTGACAAAGAGCCAAATCAAGTTTCTAAAGCCAAACCCAAACCGCCTCCAATTTATTTACGAGAGCAAAACTGTAGTGAGCTCGTGAATAAATTAACTCAGCTTATTGGAGACAATACATTCCACGTAACGTCAGTTACCAAGGGCAACATTAAAGAGACCGAACTTCAGATTCTAACTGAAGAAAATTACCAGTTGTTAACCAAACACCTTAATGACGATAAGAAAAACTTTTATACGTACCAGCTCAAAAGCAGCAAAGGACTGGAAGTAGTAATAAAAGGTATAGAATCAAGTGTACCCATTGGTGATATTGCTCATGCTCTAGAGAAGGCAGGATTCGCTGTTAAAACTAACTAGCTCTTATACATACCAACACCTCACGCCATCAACCACTACACCAGGAGCCTTTTTTGCCAATGCGCAGCGAGTTCCCAACGTTTCTTTTGCCGACGCATTTAAACTACAAACGCAGCCAAGCACGGCGAAATCAAACTCCAATCAAGAAACATTTGCAAATATTCAAAGGAATAATACTGAGCAAATGCAGCCGAACCCCCTACTTGTGGCATAGAAGGAATGATGTTGAATCTTACCCATTGTATGACTCAATTCATGTCTACTATGCAAAATATCATTCAAGACCTCATAAAGGCTCAACACTAATTGTTGCAAATTTTAGTGAATAAAAAATTAGTGAATTGAAAATTTGCTTATGGAATGCTAACGGTGTAAACCAGCGTAGATTAGAACTCAATCGATTTCTCACTGAATATAAAATAAATGTTATGCTACTGTCCGAGACACATTTAACAAATAAATGTAATTTCTCCATACCTGGATACAAATTCTACGCCACAAATCACCCAGATGGTAAAGCTCATGGAGGCACAGCGGTGCTGATTAAAAATCGCCTAAAGCACAATATTCTAGACTCAAAACCAACTTCCTGTCTGCAAGCAACTACCATATGCTTACGAAACCGCGACCGAGACTTGAATCTATCGGCTATTTATTGCCCACCGCGATTTTTAATTTCTGAAAATGACTTTAAAGATTTCTTTGATAGTCTGGGTAATAGATTCCTGGCAGGAGGCGACTTCAACGCAAAGCATACGTACTGGGGATCACGCCTTATTAACCCAAAAGGGCGGCAGTTATACAATACCATTATAAACAGGCACGATAGATTAGAGGTCCATCTCCTGGTAAACCTACTTACTGGCCAACCGATATAAAGAAGATACCAGACCTAATAGATTTCGCAATTACAAGAAACATATACAGAAATAACATAACAGCAGAAACTCTACCTGAACTATCATCCGATCACTCCCCTATATTAATAAAACTATCATGCCTATTACGGTATCCGACGGATGCCATCCGCACGGATCTAATCCGATTCGCACTGTCATAACAAGCGAATGAGAAGGATTAGATTCATGAGAATGGGATCCCTCGGAAACAGACTTATTTCGGTCCGACAGATACCACTCGCACGAATCTAATCCTTCGCACTCGCTTATTCGGACAGTGCGAATCTGATTAGATCCGTGCGGATGGCATCCGTCGGATACCGTAATAGACATGTATATGAACAGACCCAAAACATCGAGATTGAGCCTCTTCTAACTTCAAATAACACCAACTGGCTTAAATATAAAAAGTACATCAGTAGTCACCTTAAATTAAACGCTGCACTTAACTGCGAGGGTGATATAGACTCCCTTGTTTAACATATTAAAGAAGCCTTTACTTCAGCCGCTGGCCTGGCAACACCAAATCAAGTCCAATTACCACCTACGCATACATCAGTTACAAATACCGAAATAGAAAAACTTTTGGCAGAAAAGCGGCCCCTAAGAAGACAGTGGCAGAGCCATCGCTCACCAACCTCACAGCTACTGTATAAAGCTGCCAGTAGAAAACTGAAACAAGCACTCAAACGTGCAGAGGATCGCAACTTGCAAGATACATTAAGAAACTTTCCCCGAATTCTACTGAAAGATACTCTCTATGGAAATCGCTAAAATACTACGGAAATGCCAATTAGGAACCAAAGTGGTACTTGGCCTCGTAGTGAGCAGGAGAGAGCCGAGTGTTTTTCACAGCATTTAAAGAATGTGTTTCAGCCAAACTGTCCAACGAACAACTTCAGGCTGCCACGGCTAACCAAAAATACAAATGAGCTATACACACCTAGCAAGACGAACTCTTTAGAAGTAAAAGCTATAGTAAAGCAGCTTAATCCAAAGAAATCGCCGGGTGCTGATTTTATAACTCTGAAAATGCTAATAGAGCTACCGAATGTTGCACTAGCAATTCTTTCTGACCTTTTCAACGCTATCCTCAAATTCGGTTACTTTCCGAAATCATGGAAAAGGTCGAAGATAATCATGATAGCCAAACCTGGAAAAGACGCAACACAGCCGTCCTCATACAGCTCAATAAGCTTACTGCCCTGTCTTTCCAAAGTATTCGCAAAAGTACTCCTATCAAAGATATATCCCTTTCTCCATGAACGCAATTTAATACCAGCACACCAATTTGGATTCCGAGAAAAACATGGTACAATGTCCGCAATGAAGATATGCATAGGAACCTTGGTATACCGATGGTTAAATCTGTAATCGACAGCAGCAGAGAAAAATATAAAATAAAACTGCGTAACCACCCAAATCCACTGGCAAGTGGCCTGTGCAACACAACAAATATAACACGCCTGCGAAGAAGAGATATACCAGCCTTTCGTTGAGCGACGTTAAACCAACAGGGCTCAATCCCAGGGTTTCAGCTATAATAATTGTAAATAGACGTAAGATTTTTAAACTTGTTGTTAGGCTCAATAGATGTAAAATAAGCAGATCCAACAAATAAATGCAAGTATAATAAAAAAATATATATATATATTTATGTAAAATTAAGAAGAACTTAATTAACAATCCTAAATCATTTTATGGTTTCGTAAATTCAAAGCGTAAAGTACATGATATTCCGTCCGCTATGCATTATCGCAACACTGTGTCTAGCGACAGCCAACTCATTGCCAACATATCTGCCCAGTTCTTTACGTCCAATTATTCTGTAGACTTCCCTATAAGTGGAGACTATCCGTACGAGCTTTGTCCGATCAGCTCAGCATATATTCCAGTCATATCTTCCGATGAAGTTTTACACTATTTAAAAACCTTAAAAGCGTCATTTAGGCCTGGACCTGATCATATTCCGACCTGTTTTCTTAAAAACTGCGCTGAGAACATCTGCGAGCCTTTAACAAATTTATTCAATTGGTCACTAAAACATGGCGTTTTTCCGTCAGCCTGGCAGGGGTCGTTCATAATACCACTTCACAAAAACGGCAGCAGGTCCTCTATAGAAAACTATCGAGGCATAGCGAAGCTCTCCGCTATCCCCAATCTATTCGAAGCATTTATTGTTAATCAGCTGACATATTCTATATCTTCTTCAATTTCACAATCTCAACACGGGTTGTCTAAAGGAAAATCTACTACCACTAATTTATTGGAGTTTACAACTCATGTCTCAAACGGTTTTAGAGAAAATGCTCATACCGACGTAATATACACCGATTTCAGTAAAGCCTTTGACAAAGTGTGTCACTCCTTACTCATCCGTAAACTCGACCTAATCGGCTTTCAGCCCAGTATTCTTCAATGGATCTCTTCTTACCTCTATGATAGAACACAAAGAGTTATTGTTAATAATTGTTCTTCCAACATCATTAAAGATTCTTCAGGAGTTCCTCAGGGAAGCCACCTTGGTCCGATTCTGTTCCTGATATTCATTAATGATATTTCTTCTATAATAAAACATTCAAAAATTTTAATGTATGCCGATGATGTGAAACTTTTTAAAACATTGTCCTCTATCGAAGAAAGGTCTTTGTTACAAGCGGATCTGAGCAACGTGGTTAGGTGGTGTAATGCAAACTATATGCCACTAAACCTTCAAAAATGCAAAGTTATGTGTTTCTCTCTCAGCGCTGTTCAACCAGATGTTTATTCAATATCAAATTATAATCTGGAGCAGGTATCCAATTTTGTCGATCTTGGTATCACAATGGATTCCAAACTCATCATATTAATGTTACAGTCAATAAAGCCAAAGGCGTTTTTGCATTTGTAAGGCGATGGTCGAAAGAGTTCAAAGATCCTTATGTTACAAAAGCTCTTTTTACCACTTTAGTTAGACCTATATTAGAATACGGATCTATTGTTTGGAATCCCCGCTACCAAGTTCATTCAGAAAGGATTGAATCAATTCAAAAACAATTCTTGCTTTTTGCATTGCGTAATTTTAACTGAGATTCAGATTACAATCTCCCCCCTTACACAAGTCGTCTAAAGCTCATAAATTTGCCTACACTCACAAGTCGTAAAGAAATGCTAGGTATAATATTTATCGTAAAATTAATGACAGGCTTCATTAATAGCCCGGCCCTCCTGGCTGAGGTAAATTTTAATGTTCCCTCTCGAGTGTCAAGACACTTTCGACCTCTATTTTTAAAGCCATGCAAAACTAATTTTGAACTAAATGAATCATTCCGCGGTTTATGTCAAGATTTTAACTCTCATTCCAGCACGTTTGACGTATCGGACTCGATTTTTACTATAAAGAAAACTATTATTTCCACTCTCAATAATTGAAATACTATCTCTAGCATATCCAATCAGCTGATGAATTTGATTCTGTAGCTGAATAGGTTTAGATTTCGACACTTAACAAACTCCTGTTTCCATACTCGGCACCAAAAAATTAAAAAAAAAAAAAAAAAAAAATGTTCCGTACGTCATGCGGACTGCGCCCCTCGTGTCGATTGGGCGGGAATGGAGGGTAAAAAGCCGTTGGGATTAATTAATTAATATTACTAACGTGAAGGTTAATGAGCAAGTTAAGTTTGATGCAGCGTTTTTCTGCATTTAAAATGCAACATTTAGCACTTTCGAACGTATGTTTTCGAAGAGCGTTCAGGCTATCGAGTTTAGCAAATGCACATTTACGCGAGTTCGAAATCGCATGCTTTTAACAAACACACGACATTCCCACGACAGCTGGCTCTACGGTCCGGAATGACTCGGGTTTTACCCGACCAAGGGCTGTTGTTTCGGCGATCGAACCCCGTTTAGGTCGGCGAAGTATCTCAGAAGTTGTTCGCCTATAGGGCTACATCCGCTACGTTTTCTTCTGCTCAGGGCTGGCATCGAGTCAAACCCAGGGCCAGAAACCTACACACCTGCTGTGTATGCCAGAGGCGACTACACCTCAGTCAAGTGCAATGCTTGCGAGGGGTGGAGTCACCTCAGAGTCTGCTCAGGACTACGGACACATCGGCAGTG